TGAAGTCGCCAATATGTCTCTGTATCAGTATTTTATAATTACATCATGTTTTTAATGCGAATCCACAAAATAAAAATCGAGTTTAAAAATTGTAATAATTTTATTTTATTTAATAATAATAAATAATAATGATATAATAAATTTATTATTTTTATTTCACTTGTACAAATATTTAACTTTGTATAAAATAATAAATGAATGTTTTATGAAGGCTAAAAAGATATCAATTTCGAGAAATATCAAGTAAATATCGATAAATTAAAATTCATAAGGACTGCCTCACTACAATTACGTATCTTAATGACTTCGTCGTGAAGAAATCTGATCAGTTTAAAAGGCATAAAAGTGAACAAATAGATTAAAGCTGCAATTTTTGTAGTCAGCATTATAAAGTCGGCACAATGTTTCGTTGTTAGAATAACAAGAAGATATTAATCTACCCTTTCAGGTAACGGAATTACTATCCCGTACGTACTTCAACATTCGCTGCTTACTCTCGCCAATGTAGAAAGGAGAGGCGGATGACGATGACTCGTCGAAATAACGCGTATTGCACGTACGCTGTATTGTCGCGCTATAGCTTCAGCTTCGCGAGTTCAGTTGTATGCTCCATTAAACGGTACTCACGATGAAAATGATCAGCGATATCGTGGCTTTTCTGTCACGCGTGTCGGCAAATTACGAACAAGTGGCGGCTCTCCGATCTGGGAAGATTTTATCTCTAGGCTCGCAGTGAATTCTTCATTGGTCTTCATTTGTAGCTTTCGTCCCGTAAAGCAGGCGCAATTTATTTCGTACTGCATCGCTGCCGCGTCGCCGCATCAGGTCGGCATGTAACATGGTTTTAAATGAGAGACGAGGGAATAGTTGTGAAGCGAACGCACGTGAATGCGCGTAAAGGATGACGGCAGGAATCCTCGTGCTATAAAAGTTCTCTTATGTCATCGATAAAGACGAGCGAGCTGACGAGGCTCTAATGGATCCCGCCGATCGCGTAATTACTCTCGCGTTATTCTCGCACGATGAACATGGTCGGCTGTTTAAAGTTGCTTCTTAAAGTAGATACGCCTATAAAATCGACATGCGCGAAGTACTTCAAAAGAAAGTCGCGAACCTCCCTTCATCCGGAGTGATGTTTCCTGTACAGTAACTTGATTGGATCGAATTTTTTTGACTAATTGCTTTCATCTTTAGCACTGATTGTGTTCCGTTAAATTTTGTATATCTCTTACTTTATATATAATTATAAGAAATTTTAAATTTTATTCAGGTAAATTTTAAAATATTCATGTTTTATCATACATATTTTCGTAAGTATTCATTCTCACGATACTTTCATTCTCCCATGACTTACTATTAGAATTCAATAAATGTAAAAACAAAAATTTTAATTGAGAAATTTCGCTTCACAGCAGACGAAGGCAAGTAATAACAGTTTCTATTTATTAAACATAAAAATTTATTAAATAATTTCTACTTATTTAACAATATGGAAAAGAAATTCCTCTCGATATATAAACTCATATGTACAAATAGATACAACAAGAGAAATGATAAGCGGATATAATGAGACTAAGCGCGAGTCTTCTAGGAAATGGAGAATAAGGCGGATATATGCTTAGAATCTTAATCACGACCGCCAGGGAAGAAAAACTAGCGATTTTATTCAGACTGCGAGTCGCTCCGTGTCACAAATACGGTTATATCACGAGCCCTTACCATTATTGTTCTACATCTTTTCTACACGAGCATCGCAACGCAGAAGAAATTACCGCAAGCGAGTTTCTCCGATTTCTTTGCTATAGATTGTCCCCCTCTCCTCCTCCACCGTTATAATCCTCCGTCCTGTCATGATCGTTTAGATCGACGTGCGACATATATACAATAAAGAAGATTAAAAAACTCACAAATGGTATTGGATTCCCCGATCGACACTCAACATTTCTCGTATCACTTCGGATATGCTTATATCGATTACACATTCCATGCATTCTGCCACTCGCTGTATAATGTAATTCTAATTATGATCCTAGTCCTAATTATATGATCAGGTGATTAAGGAATCCGGGGACGCGCGTAAAAAATATTAACATATAACTACAGCGTCTCACTGTAATTACAACTGCCGAGAGAAACACCATTATTTGATAGTTATCGTCATAGGAACTTTAACTTCTTCTATTCCATGAGATTAGCAGATTGAAAATTTCGCTTGATTGAAAATTGATGCCCGGAACGTTGCACCGTGTGACTCGCGAATCCGCTGGATTACAATTTAGAGAAGCGGGACATCGGCGCAATCACGGTATTTGCTTTTTAAGCGCCGACTGTGTCAGGCTGAACGTCAAGTTTAACCATTGAGAAGAAGGTGGCCGTCGCGCGTTCGTTTTAGGTCCGTCGTTTTCATGAGATCGAGGCTACTCGATCGATTCATCATCCTAACGTACGGAGAATATTGCGTGTGCGGATTAGCAAATATGCCTAATGAGCTC